GGGACGTCCCGACTCCGCTGAGGCCCAGGCCCAGGGCCCGCAGGGAGCACGTCAATGCCCCCCCCACACTCCTGGGCTTCGGGGCCATTGGGACAGCCCAAGGGTGAGGTCACCACACAAGTTGGGTGGTTTCATTTTGCTTTGTATTTCGAGCTTTCAGAGTGTTTTGTAAGTCTGTGAGCATTTCCTTGACTCCCGGCCTGACTTCCCTTGGAGTCCGTCTGTCCGTCTCCCACAGTTGGCGTTCATCTGGTTCTAGCACATGCAGGTTCATGCCCGCTGGCCCGAGGCCTGCCCAGCACCCCTGCCCCGTGGCCCCCTGCAGGGGCGGGGGCTGGGCTGCCCTGGCCTTGCCTGGTGGGCTTCACTGGGGTGGGCGGCCAGCCTTCCTGGCTGTGGGGAGGATAGGGCCTCACAGGGAGGGGCTCCCGAGGGTGGAGTGAGTCTGCGTCTCCACCAGGTCAGTTCTTGAGAAGGTTAGTATCTTGGGTTTGGCAGCCCAGGCCGCCAGGCCCGCTCCACAGCTCCGGCCTCAGGGAGGGGCCGGCACTCAGCTCACGGCCTGCTCGTCCTGCTCGCTGCCATCAGCCCTGGAAGGCCGGTGGTCAGCTGACTGCTGCTTTCAGGGACACTGTGCTTTCCAGAAGGATCCAGGGAGGGAAGGCTGCTTTGAAGGCCATTGCTGCAGGGTGGGGAAGGCAGGTTAGGGGCTACCTCTGCTTCTGGTCTGTGGAGTTTAGCTAATAAGGATGGTTGCTAGTGGCTATGTGATGACATTTTCAAAGGCTGTGCCTGGTGGGGGCAGGGAGTCCTGGGCATTTTTGTCTCTCGGAGCTGCATGATCTTTGCACTGAAGCTCTGCCTTGCTCTGAGCCCCTTCTGGGCCCTGAAATGCTCAGAAGGGCTAGGAGGAGGAGACTCCCGCTGCCATCTCCGCAGAAGCTGCCCAGGGCCAGGCGCGCAGCACTGGAAAGGAAACCCCTGCAGGCAGGTGGGGTTCTAGGGCTGGACGCCACCCTCCTCAGGCAGCTCCAGCCTGGCCATTTGCCAGCCCAGGGAACCTTGGGCAGGTGGAGTCCAGGGGCTTAAGCGCTGCCTGGGCTCTGAGAGTCTCTAGGCATACTCACCAGCCAGCCACATGTGCACAGGTGCAGGGCCCCCAGAGGCCCCGGGAAGTCTGCTAACCTGAGGGCGCTCACACACAGCACATGGCCCTTGGTGAGTTTAGTGCTTCCTGATTCTCTCCTCCTCAGGCCTGGACTGCAAGGTCCTAGGATTCCATGGATTTCCTACCTCTTCCATCCGTTTGCAGTCCACACGCACACATGCATGCACACATGTACATGCACACACTGCGCGCACATGCATACAATTCACACACATCTCTGTCTTGCTCCTGGAGTGGCTGAGGCTGGCTGGGCCCCTCAGGCAGTTCCTGCTGGGCCCCCAGGGGCAGGGTGGACAGGGATGCAGTTGAACGGTATTCCCACGCAGATGGACAGAGGCAAGGCCTTTGCCGATGTGTGGCGTTAAGGTTAGGCAGCCCCCCTCCTCCACCCCCTTTCCTGACGCGGAGGAGGACTCGTGAAGACTAAGGCAGACTATAGTGACGGCCGCCACAGACCACACATGCCACGGACCCCCTGGAAGGCTTCTTGGGGCCTACAGGGAGCCCAGCCTGACCGCACCGGGCCCGGTACTGTCCCGGGAGAGCGCTCTCCCACCTTCCCCAGCCTCAGGACAGCAACGAAGGCTAGACCTGGGCTTGCACCTCTGCTAACCTGGCACACCTGCCATCCCTGGGCCTCACACTCACCGTGCCCGGGGACTTGTCACACAACATGGAGCCGGCGGGGGGTGGGGGGGAAGCCCGTGACAGCCGGACAGAGCATGGTGAGACTCGCCCCCTGGGCAGCAGATGGAGAGCGAGGCTCAGCAGAGGGAGCATGCTGGCCTGTGCCCAGGACCCCCCTCTGCGCTTGGGGGCTGCTGCTGGCCCAGATGGGGTACTTGGTCTAGGTGCATTCGTATCACTCAGAACACATGGTGCTATAAGCCCTGAACTGGCGTCATGAACGTGTGGCTGCGGGGACATTTTCCCAGGAGCCCTAAGTCGGGGCTTTGGCATGGCCGGGAAGGGGCTGCTACTGCCCAGGGTGCCTTTCGGTGGGTGGGGCGGGGTGTCCTGGGTGCTTGCCCTCCCATGGCTGGAGTCTGCAGCCTGCCCTCCCCAGGGAGCAGGGCAGCTGGGGCGAGTACGGCGTGAGGTGACCTCATGTCTGATCCCTGCAGTGGAGGCCGGGCTGCTTCTGCTCAGCTCTCCCTGACGTCCAGCCTGCTGTCCCGGGAGCCACCGGGAGTGAAGCCCTAATCCAGCCATACCTCAGTCTCTGTGGCTGCCCTCTCAGACGCAGGCCACACTCCGGGGACGGGGGTGCCTTGTCCTAGCCTGCAGAGGGGCCCTGGGCTAAGTCGTTGGAGCTTGTGAGTGCCCTGGGTCTCCCTGCCTGCATCGCCGGGGCCTCCTGGCCCTTCCTTGGAGCAAGACGCCAGGCTGGCGTCTCATCTTTCACTTACTGGGCATGCCCAGAGCATGGCTTCCCTCTGGTGGCCTCCATGCCCTCCCTGGCCTCTCCTGGGCAGGGAGGGGTAGGAAAGGGTCTCGACAGCTGTCACGGGTGGCACTGAGCAGATCCGTGTCCACTCCTGTCTGGTCTTCAGAGGAGAGGCAGCCTTCCATGTTCAGAATGTCCCCCCACACCCACGGGCTGGCCTTCGGGCAGTCCCGTGAGCTCAGACAAACAGGTTGGGCAGCAGTAGCTGGAGTTTCAAGTCAGAGTCCAGGGAGTTTATTGTTTTGTTTTCTTCACAAACAGTGTGTCCTGGGAAATGAGGCCAACAAGTGCCCTGGCCCAGCCTCCCTGGAGCAGGGTGGGCACAGGCACACACCAGCTGTGATGTCCAGATGGGCTTGCTTTCTGAGAGGTCACCCCCAGTGCCTGTCCTTATCACCTGGGTGGACTGTGTCTTGGGTGTACTTCCCAAGACAGGACAGCCTGTCTGCTGGCCATGTGGGGGGTCCGGGCAGCGCTCCCTGCCAGCCAGGCCCTGGGCCCCGAGGTGGCCTCATGCTGTGCTTGAGGAGAGTCTAGCTCACAACCCACTATGTCTAGAGTATGGGTCACTGGGGAGACATGGGAAGGGATGGTCACGTTGCCCTCCAGTGCCCAGCCCAATCTACCTTATGCTGGGTGGAGCATGCTCTGTGTGCCACAAAGACTGCTGTGTGGAGTCCAGACATCTTTTCACCCCATAACATGCAAGCGTCACCAAGCAAGGGGTAACCTTGCATCTGTTTTCTGTGACACCTGGTAGGCCTCTTCTGAGTCAAGGTTTTGACCTGAGCAGATCCTGGCTGGCTGGGGCACTGCCCACCTCCTGGCACTCTTGGTCTCGGGGACCCTATGGTATTCCTCACGCCTCCGCTCCAGCCCCCGGGAGCCCTACAGGTACCGTCCACCCTGCTTGGATGTCCAGCAGCCAGTGAGGCCTTGTGTTAGGTCTGCCACATGTCCACCACACTGGAGGAGGAGTGGGACTGTGGTCATCCCCTACCCTGCATCCTGTGAGCGTGTGTGGAAGAGCTGGTCAGGATGGGGGCACCGAGCCCGCCTGCTGGGGTGGGAGCCTGCTGGGGTGGGAGCCTGCTGGGGTGGGAGCCTGCTGGGGTGGGAGCCTGCTGGGGTGGGAGCCTGCTGGGGTGGGACCCTGCTGGGTGGGGAGCCTGCTGGCGGCCCCTCCGGAAAGACCTGGAGGCTCCCTTTCATCCTCCCTGCCTCAGAATTCCCCAGGGTGTGGCGGGAAGGCTCTGCCTGTCAGAAAGATGTCCTAGCACGAGTCCTTTTCCTTTTTGACTGTGTCGGTGTTATACGTAGCTCCGTTTTTCAAACCCATGAGTAGTATGAACCGTACTACGTGAGGAAAGGCTGTTTCTAGATTCTTTGGGTTTGGATGCTACTTGTGGACTTCTTCCTGTGGAAGGAGGTGGTTCGCGTTCTTAGATTCCCTCCTGGCCCAGCATCAGGATGTAGAAGCGGACCTTGGCTGAGTGGCGGTTCAGTGTTCAGCTGCAGGTCAGCGGTGCAGATGGCGACAAACCTATTTTGGTCCAACTGTTGGTCCTTGGCATGGGCCTCCCCCTCCCATTCTGTCTCCTGAGCATCTCTGTCCGTCCCGGCACTCAGAAGCCTCAGTGCCTGCATCCCCGTGAGGTATTCCTTTTAGTGTAATGCTGCTGACAAGCTTCTCCAAAGCAGAGGCTTCAGACAGTGCTCGTTAGCTATTGCTCACTATGCCCGGTGCTCACTGGGCAGGCTGGAGCAGCCAGAGCTCCTGTATCTGTGCCAGCCACGTAGGGCTGCTGAGCCACACTGGAGTATGCACGCACACACAAGTGTACCCTCCTTCCCCCTCCCCTCTTTCTCTCTCCACCCTCCTCTTTCTCCTCCTCCCTTCCCCCTCCCCTCTCCTCCCCTCCCCTCTGCTTTCCTGTCCTTCCCACTCTGGGGCTCCCTGCACTGGGGATGGCAGATGGGTCTCTGGGTTGTCCACGCCCCTGTGCTGGGGGCCAGGTCCTTTCCGGGGTCCCCAGCCCTCAGGTGCATGGGAGGCCCCCATAGTCACCTGCACAATGAGCACGTGGCAGAGGACGCCAGCCAGAGGCTGTCCCCAGCGCTCCTGTCCAGTCCTGCCTGGCCCGGACCCTGTGGCCCAAGGCCTCAGCCGCCTCAGATCCTCCTCAGACCTGCGCAGCGCCTGGCACCCAGGGCGGAGTGATGCACTGGGATCGGTGGGCTGGGGGCCCTCGGGCTCCCCAGTGAGCCGCAGGGCTCAAAGGAGAGGCTGAGTGACTGGAATGGACTCGGGCCTGGTGCTGGCCGCCCCGAGGGGCCTGTCCTCCACTGCCCCTGAGGTAACCTCTGTCCTCTGTTTTCTCCAAGGTCACCGGCGATGAGGTGCAGCTGTTATCCTGAACTTCTGACTTCTGTGAGGGCCCCTCATGCCTTCTGGCAGGCTGCGTGCAGACACATGCTGGGCCCGGTGGTCAGCCTGGCGTGAGTGCCCCGGAGGAGCAGGTGCGTGCCGAGAGGGGCCGGCCCGGACAGGCTCCTCCTGGCTGTGTGTCTGTTCCTGTGCCTCAGGCTATGGTGTCTCTGGCCAGGAAACAGCCCAGAAGTCCGTGACATGCTTGCTACTTCCTGTGCCGGACTGGCAGCTTCCGGGCTGGACGGTCCCCATGCCGCATGGGGCCGCCGTGGCCCGCCGTGGGGCCGCGTGCCGGGCAGGGTCTGGGCTGCTCTGCTCTGCTCTTCCCCCTGCCGCACCGGCTGGAGACGCCAACTTGCTTGTGGGGGTTCTCCTTCCCAGCCTGGGCCTGGGGTCTCTGTGCATCCAGCGAGGGGACCTGCCCCTGTCACCCACATTCCTCCCAGAGCAGGGTCCCCTGGGCACCCCAGCCTGCCAGGCCACTTGGGAGATGCTGCTATGAGTTGCCAGCACTGTGAGGAGGAGGGGTGAAGGGCGGGCGTGAATCACGGCGGCCGGAGGTTGGGAGGAGAGGCCTCCCTGCCCTGCAGTCATTCCTTTCCCCTCTGCCATTTCAAAGACCAAAAAGAAAAGGAAAGAAGGAAACATGGTCTTCTGTTCTTTCTTTAACTATGAAGAAGAATAAAAAAAGAGACGTCTGTGCTGCGGGTCTCCTCTGAGTGGTGGGCTTCTCGCTGTCACCCGGGGGCACTGACCCACGCCTCCAGCGCGCTTCCCGCCATCTCCGGCCCCCTCCAGGTTTTCTGGTTGACCCCTGAGCTCCCTGGGCAGAGCAGCCCCCTGGCCAGCGGGACGCCCGCTCTGTGCTCTTGCTGGACAGGCCTCTGTCTCCTGGTCTGCTCAGAACCCAGAGACAATGCTGGCAGCTTCGTTTGTCCCTGGTTCTCCTGAATGTTCTGGGTTTATGGACGCCGTGCCCTTCAGGAAGGACTCTGAGGCTGCAGCATGGCCAGGGGTGGCCAGCCGCCGGGTCCTCAGTAGAGCCTGGACATGGAGCACCATCTCTGCTGGTCAGGCGATTGTCCACGCTTCCTGTGGGCAGCTGCCCCAGGCAGCCCAGGGCATAGTTCTCAGGTCTCATAGCAGGGCACTCTCCCCAAAGAAAATCTTTCAAGGATCAAACCATCAGAGCCTCCCCTCCAGGGGTCCTGGGAACCTTTGAAAGTCACGGTGGGACTGCGTGAATCCTGAGAGGGGCTCTCCAGTGCTCACTGGACCAGTGCCCGGCTGCTGGCCAGTCCTCCCTGGGTTGTCCTGAGAACCAGCAGGTAACAGCTCTCCCCTTGGGAAAAGCTCAGGCCCAGGGAGCTGGACACCACCACAGTCCTTGGTGGTCATGTGGTCTCTCAGTAGTTGCTCTGAGCTGGGTCCTGAATCTACCCTTCCTCCCAGGGGCCCCCAAGAAGGCCTGCTCCCAGTCGGTTAGGGGGAAGAGGACCTGCTGTCTGGGGGCTGGGGCAGAGGTCGGCATCGTCCAGGAGTGGGTGCAGAGACCGGAGACTGGGATCTCTTCCTCAGAAGCAAATGTGTGGGTTTCTGGGATGAATTATGCATCCCAGTGGGCGGGGCCAGGCCCCTGGCACCTGTCCAGGCCCTGGGGTGGGGGTGGGGAGCCTTCCTGTGGAGGATCAAAGGATCACAGGGCCTGAGCATGGGGCCCTGGGTCCCAGCGAGGGAGACCTGCCAATGGCTGCCTCCTGAGCAGTCAGGGCCTGAGCAGGGAGGGAGGACCTGTCTGGCTCCAGGCTCCTTTAGCCCAACTTCCTGGAAAGGCCCTGCTCTGGGGGTCCAGGAGCTCCTGCCAGGGGGCCGGCCTAGCCACCTCCGCCCCTCCCAGGCTGAGATTCCAGGGGCTGAGGTTGCCGCTGAGCGTCCCCTTCCACTCCGATTGCAGTTTCCAGCAGAGTGGCTTCTGGGTGCACAGGCTCACTCCGGGGCCTTGCCGTCTGAACTGCGAAGGGCTCTGGGCAGGGGCCCTGCCTGCCACGCACAGCCCGCACAGCGCTGTGCTGTGGGGAAGGCGCTTCGGACAGAGGAGGGCCTTGCAACACTGCACACCACACGGCTGTGGTGTGGAGGCCTGGGAACTGGCAGGCTTGGGATGCACCATTGGGCAGCAGGAAAGATCCACAGGCCCAGTCCTCAGAGCTCCCAGGAGCCCCGCCACAGCAGCAGAGCAGCGGACGCCTGCCTGTCCATCACGTCCTAATCTTTGTGTCTGTGAAGTGCCCTTCATGTTCCTCGTGGCTCTAAGCAGAGGGATGGGCTCACTGCAGTGCCCTCCACTGCAGCCCCTGAGCCTCATGCCTCTCGACCTGCTCCGGACCCTCTCCCACCCTGGCCCAGCACCCCTTGCTTTCCCTCTTCGGTGCCATAGGCGCCCAGGCCCAGGACACGGCCTCTGGGGCTTCCTTCTGCCTAAGTTCTCAGGGGGATGGCCAGGCCCGTGTCCTGGATGGGAACTCAGCCACAGGCTGGTCTGCACCTCCTGTCCAGCCTCATCGCACAGGCTGGGCTGGCCGTTGTCCTTAGCTGTGGGAGAGGGTTAAAGGATGCTTCCGCAGATAGTTAAAACGGAAGCAGCTCTGGAAAGCGTCAGGCTTGATAGCACACTTCTGTAACCTCCGGTCTGTGGGAGGATCAAGTCTGAGCCCAGCTCTGGGCAAATGCTTGAAACCGTATATGAAAGATGAAAACAAAGAGCTGGGCGCATGGCCCAGGTGGTAGAGCACCTGTCTCGTGTGAGGCCCTGAGTTCAGACCCAAGTACCACTAAAATGAGGTCTACATCTTTTCAAGCAGATTACTTGTGTCTGATTTGGGGGCAGCCCACACCAGGCCCAGGAATGGGAGGCAGGCCCACACCAGGCCCAGGAATGGGAGGCGGGCCCACACCAGGCCCAGGAAAGGGAGGCGGGCCCACACCAGGCCCAGGAATGGGAGGCGGGCCCACACCAGGCCCAGGAATGGGAGGCGGGCCCACACCAGGGCTGGTGCCAGGAATGGGAGGTGGGCCCACACCAGGGCTGGTGCCAGGCCCAGGAATGGGAGGCAGGACCACAGCAGGCCCAGGAATGGGAGGCGGGCCCACACCAGGGCTGGTGCCAGGAATGGGAGGTGGGCCCACACCAGGGCTGGTGCCAGGCCCAGGAATGGGAGGCAGGACCACAGCAGGCCCAGGAATGGGAGGCGGGCCCACACCAGGGCTGGTGCCAGGAATGGGAGGCAGGCCCACAGCAGGCCCAGGAATGGGAGGCGGGCCCACACCAGGGCTGGTGCCAGGAATGGGAGGTGGGCCCACACCAGGGCTGGTGCCAGGAATGGGAGGCAGGCCCACACCAGGCCCAGGAATGGGAGGCGGGCCCACACCAGGCCCAGGAATGGGAGGCGGGCCCACACCAGGGCTGGTGCCAGGAATGGGAGGTGGGCCCACACCAGGGCTGGTGCCAGGAATGGGAGGCAGGCCCACACCAGGCCCAGAAATGGGAGGCAGGCCCACACCAGGGCTGGTGCCAGGAATGGGAGGCAGGCCCACACCAGGGCTGGTGCCAGGAATGGGAGGCAGGCCCACACCAGGGCTGGTGCCAGGAATGGGAGGCAGGCCCACACCAGGGCTGGTGCCAGGAATGGGAGGCAGGCCCACACCAGGCCCAGAAATGGGAGGCAGGCCCACACCAGGGCTGGTGCCAGGAATGGGAGGCAGGCCCACACCAGGCCCAGGAATGGGAGGCGGGCCCACACCAGGCCCAGGAATGGGAGGCGGGCCCACACCAGGGCTGGTGCCAGGAATGGGAGGTGGGCCCACACCAGGGCTGGTGCCAGGCCCAGGAATGGGAGGCAGGACCACAGCAGGCCCAGGAATGGGAGGCGGGCCCACACCAGGGCTGGTGCCAGGAATGGGAGGCAGGCCCACAGCAGGCCCAGGAATGGGAGGCGGGCCCACACCAGGGCTGGTGCCAGGAATGGGAGGTGGGCCCACACCAGGGCTGGTGCCAGGAATGGGAGGCAGGCCCACACCAGGCCCAGGAATGGGAGGCAGGCCCACACCAGGCCCAGGAATGGGAGGCAGGCCCACACCAGGCCCAGGAATGGGAGGCGGGCCCACACCAGGCCCAGGAATGGGAGGCGGGCCCACACCAGGGCTGGTGCCAGGAATGGGAGGTGGGCCCACACCAGGGCTGGTGCCAGGAATGGGAGGCAGGCCCACACCAGGCCCAGAAATGGGAGGCAGGCCCACACCAGGGCTGGTGCCAGGAATGGGAGGCGGGCCCACACCAGGGCTGGTGCCAGGAATGGGAGGCAGGCCCACACCAGGGCTGGTGCCAGGAATGGGAGGCAGGGCTGGTGCCAGGCCCAGGAATGGGAGGCAGGCCCACACCAGGCCCAGGAATGGGAGGCGGGCCCACACCAGGCCCAGGAATGGGAGGCAGGGCTCACACCAGGCCCAGGAATAGGAGGCGGGCCCACACCAGGCCCAGGAATGGGAGGCAGGGCTGGTGCCAGGCCCAGGAATGGGAGGCAGGCCCACACCAGGCCCAGGAATGGGAGGCAGGCCCACACCAGGCCCAGGAATGGGAGGCAGGCCCACACCAGGCCTAGGAATGGGAGGCAGGCCCACACCAGGCCCAGGAATGGGAGGCAGGGCTGGTGCCAGGCCCAGGAATGGGAGGCAGGGCTGGTGCCAGGCAGGCTCAGACAGCAGCAGTCTTCCAGTAGGGCCTTTCCTACAAGGATCCAGGTTGCATAAGCTCATCAGAACAGAGCCAGGCTGGACAGCTCTCAGCTGCCCACCCTCGACCCTGTAGAGAAGGCTCTGGCCCTTTTACCTCCAAAGGACCCTCGGGGTCAGAATGGGGTTCAGTAGCCCTACAGTGGAGGACCGGGTCTGCCCTTCCCATCCCCCCTCATGTGGCAGTGTGTCCCTCCCTGCCTGTCCCCCAGGTCTTTGATCTGGGCAGAGTGACCTAGCTCTGCTCAGCAGCTGCTCCATTCGGGTCCCTAGCGGCTCCCTTGCTCCCCACACCCCCCATGCTGGCCATCAGTCATGAGCCCAAGGCCAGCTGCCACTGATCTGACATGGAGCAAGCTAGAAGGGGAGGGTGTAGAGGAAAGGCCATGCCAGGGTAAGAGCTTGGTTTGTGTCTGCCCTTCACCCTCCTCCCCCTCCTGAGCCGCCCTCCGCTCCTCCAGCCCCCCACACCCCTGCACCTCCGTCCAGCCACAGCCCAGGTGCTATCACTGCTCTGCTAGACCCAGGGCCGGGGGTCTCGGTCTCCACGTCTGGCAGGCACTGCAGGCAATGTGGGCCTGGACGGGGGCCTGTGCCACAGGACTTCTGGCTCTGCCTCCCCTCCTGTCTTGCCCTGCTCTGCACCCACACCTCTGAGCCCGGCAGCTCCTTCCCCGGCACACAGGCCGTGCTGGTCTCTGTGCAGCATCCCCAGGTCTCGACCTGCTCTGTGTCCCACAGGAGGGAGAGCAGGGAGCAGGGCCCGGGGTGAGAGCCAGGCCCCAGCCCCTGGCTCTCTCCTGGTCTCTGCCCTCCGGGTGTAAGGCCCCAAAGCCCCAGACACTTCCAGAAGCCTCATTACAAGGCCT